AACATCCTCAATTTGATCACCACAACTCACACACATAGCGGAATTTGACAACCCCCTTGTAACTCTTATAGACGATTAAACGAGAGGCCTTTTGAGGAGGGTTTAGATGATATGTCCATTGATGATGAGCTTACGAGCGATGATGAAGAAATCAAAGACCCCATGACTCCGGATTCGAATGCTTTGGGCATACCATGGATCTTAATCCCCAAAAAGCTACTAGCTAATATTAGAAGACTGTGGAAGAACTTCTTAATCATCAAGCTTTTGGGGGAAGAGGATAGATTACAAACTACTCATGACAAAGATTTGTAAGTTATGGGATTTATAGGGGGATTTCGAAGCTATTGATCTTGATTTTGGCTTCTTCCTCATTAAATTCCAAATGAAGAAGGACTCTAGTTATGTCTACACAGGGGACCCTTGGATAGTTCTTGATCACTATTTTATCATCCATAAATGGACACACAATTTCAAACCGTCGACAGCCGAAAAAGCAATGACAGCATTGTGGGTCAGATTCCCTCAATTGCCCATTGAACATTATGATGAAAAAGTGTTATTCCACACAGCAAAAGCAATGGGCAAACCTCTAAAGATCGACCTTATACGGCTACCTTGAACAGGGGAAAATATGCTCATGTTTACATTGAAATGGATATAAATAAGCCTTTCATTTCTTATTTTCTTATTAGCAAATAAACTTATTCAATTGAATATGAACATTTACACACCTTTTGCTTTAATTGTTGTAAGGTTGGTCATCGGGGGGAATGGTGTAGAGAGAAGTCGCCGACGACGGCTAAACCTGTCAATGCCAATGTCTCTGCAAAATCTGCTACTGTCTGTTGGAGTTGAGATAGTAAACCATAAAGACCTAATATTGTTTGAGCAAGCCCAAAAACACGGGCCAAAAGATAATGATGAGGAAAAGTTTGAGCCATGGCTACCTGTGGACTGTAGAAGTAAGAAGAATCATTATTCAAGTCATAGAAATGGCCAAATTCCAAAGCCCAATGGCATGGGTGCCCAAAGATTCACTAATCCCTCCCACTGGAATCAAAACGGGAGCTACCCATCAACATTTGGCCAAGGTCCAATGGCTAAAATCAACCCACCTAATCACCATTTCCCTAAGCACAGTGATAGCAAAGCTAGCTTGATGGACAAGAATCTTCAGCGATCACGTGAAGGTTAGTTTACACCCACTGATTGCATAGACAATCAATTTATATTCAATACTTTTGATTATTTACAACCCTGCGGTAAGAACTTTGAGATGATCACACCAACCGCTACAATTGCAAAAATAATTGATGCATCTGAGAAATTGACAACTGACACAGCTTTGGATATAAACAAATCATCCTCCTCTAAGCCTCCTTTCCTTATGAACCATGTGAAGAACCCAACCAACCCCCATTCATCAATAGCCCAGTGAAGATTCCAGAGGTTCCACAACACAGAATAACAAGCAACCAAATGTATATTGCAATAGATCCAGAGATAGAAGCTACTCACCTAATCGCACCACAGTGGTGGATAGAGAAAGCCCAGGTCAAGATAGAACTCAACATGGAGAGCTACAGGGCCACAACCCATAGACTATTGATTGGCTCAACAAGAGCCATGGTGAACGACCAAATTTGGGTAAAAAAGATACTAGGGACACCTAACTTCTGTCATATTCCAGAATTTCCACATTCGTCATCCATGAAGTTGCTTGAATGGAACTGTAGGGGTGCGGGGAATAAAGTGTTCAAACACAACATCCGTGAGCTCATTATCATCCATAAGCCAACTATCTTGGTTCTAATGGAGACTAAAGTCTAGCTTAGCTCAATGGGGGCCTTTTCTCAACAATTTAGGTTTTACAGCTTCAACTCATGTAGATTCAGTTGGCAAGTGTAGAGGTATCTGGATGCTTTGGGACATTTTTAAAACTAGTGTCACAGCTTTGATGCAAACCTACAAGTTATTCATGCCAAGATCAAACGTGACATTTTTTAGATTGAATCTTTTCAGCGATTTATGCCAGCCCTATTCCCAGAAATCGTGATACTGTTTAGGATAACTTAGGCCCCGTTTGTTTGGAGTTATGGGAAGGGGATTGGGATTGATAGTGAGGTGGGACTACTATATTGGTTGTTTGTTTTGAGAGATAGGGAGGGGACTCCTAATCCCTTCGTATTAGTAAAGGCCTTGGAAGGGGGATTGGGAAGGAGGAGGTAGAGATGGTATTAGAAAAATAGTGAGGGGATAAAAAAAATTTTATTTTTTTTTATTTTTTATATATTGGGAATTTTTTTTTAAATATTAATGTTTAATTTTTTATATTTTTTATATTTGTTATATTATTTTATATAAAAATAATTTAATAATTCCTCACTATTAATCCCTTCACTATTAATCCCCTCCATTCTACCTCTAAAAACAAATAGGCCTTTAGAGTCTATAGCTGATAATATGACCGAACTGTGGGTTGATACAAGGGACTTCAACTTTGCAAGCTAAAATGAAAAGTGTAGTTTTTGTGCATCCCAAGATCAAACAACTCGTAAATTCCAATCCAGACTGAACATGTGCAATCTCATGACCTAGGGTGTTCAGGCCCTCGACTCATATGGACTAATGGAATGCAGGGAATGACCAACACACTTGAGATGCTTGACTGTGCCATTCGTAACATCAAATGGAGACTGTAATTTCAAGAAGAGGCAGTGAGAAATCTTTCGAGAACGTACTTCGACCATGCTCCTATGATAGGCTACACCGAAGGTATGCATAATCCCAACCCTCTTTTTAAACCCTCTTTTTAGACCTTTTAGGATATATGTTGCTTTGTTTACTAATCCCATTTAAAAAAACTTAGTTATGGATTCTTGGAATAATGCTAACAATTCAATCCTGGAAGCCATCCCGTCAATTACTTCTAAAGCTATCCTATGGAATAAAAACATTTTTGGTAACATTTTTCGTAACAAACGATAGCTTCTAGGTAGAATTGAGGGCATCCAAAAGGTCCAGCTTGTTAAGTTTTTGCTTAATCTATTTGTTCTTGAAAAAGAGCTGATTAAAGAATATAATAATGTTCTCTTCCAAGAGGGATTGTTTTGGTTTAAAAAATCCCGTACCAAGTGGCTTACCATGGGCGAAAGAATAGATTATTTCACGTTTCTACTTTGACTAAAAGAAGGAAATCTAGAATTAACACTCTGAAAATAAAATATCCTTCAATATAAAGGAGGGTTAAAGAAAAATGGAAAATAAAACCATCTACAAAAATAAGGCTTGAGGAAGAGGGAAAAAGAATGGAACATTTTATAACATGCAAAACAAAACAACTAATTAAACAAATCTTAATCAATTAATTCTTGCTTGTTTAAGGGCAAAACATAAAATAACACAATTACCATTATGTTAAAACCAATAGTGATTTGATCTTCAATCATTATAACAAACAGATAATCATAGCTCAATCATACCATGGTAGCAAAAGTAAGATATAATGAAACCAGTCACTACCAAATATGAACAATCCTATTATCCATGTTCACTGTAAACATCAACCTTAGATGAAAAGGGATTATGTTACAACAACGTGACCAATTTAAGTGTGAAAGAATCATGTCACCGACCTTTTAGTTTCATGGCAAGAGAAATGATAAGAAGAAGAACTAGAACTAGTAGCTATCATATTACAATAAATAATCCATGAAACATGCTTGGCAAACCTATATGCAATCAAAGCAAAGATGGTTTGATCGCATATGAGTTCATATGCTCATAACGATAGAATAAGAATAAAGAATTAAACTAAAACTAGAAACCCTAACTATGAACAAGAACAAAAAAACAGAAAATAAAGTAGAAAATTAAAATAAACCTACTAACTTAAATGTGAAAAACCACCACTAGAAAAGCCTTTCCATCCTTAGGACCTCATTCTTCAAAGAGGAACTCCCAACACACCTCTGAATTAAAGCACCCAAAGTGAACTCGACACGAAAACTTTTGAAGTAAAATGGTCAAATTTTGCACAAGAGTGTAAAATGGCCTTTTGAATTTTCGTTAAGGATATCTTCCTCGACTAAAAGATTCAATGAAAAATAATGAAGTATGGAGGGTTTTATATAGGACTCTAGGGATAGGTTTGAAAGTTCAAATTCAATGTAGGATTCATAAAAACAGATTAAGATAAGATCAACTACACAATCGAGATCAAAATGAAAAAACAAAACGCCACAGGCAAAATGGCCACAAAGAGCTGGCTTGTCTCTTTCTAAGCCTAGAAAAGTGAATGGATAGTTGATTCGGCTACCCTAGCCTGGGCGCATGCTGTTTTATTTTTTTCCCCACTATTTCTAAGGGTTTTATGTTCCAAAACATGGTTTTTAGGTGTAGGCTTTTAAAATATTTTGAAAATAATTTTATTTATAATTCAATAAGCCCAATTTGAAATAAAAGAGTCCCGGTCCAAGCACGGTCATTACTTGTTGAAAATCAATGAGCAACTATAAAATGACTATCCAATCTTCATTTTAAATTGAATTCAAGTGAATCTTATATCATTAGGAAGCTCTTTAAATTGGTATTTAAAAAAAAGAATTCACATATAATGTTGCACAAAATCGAAACCCTTTGTTTGGACAAAAAGGGAAAAATTAAGTTCTGGAAGCAATTTGACCCTGAGGTCCATAGGGATTCAAATTGGCTTTAAAAAGGTTGGTTAAGTTATTTTTCTAATCTAAAATTTTCACGACCCCATCCCGTGCCAAACAGGATAGTGATCGGCCAGTAGTCGTGGGTTATCAAAGCCCTGACTTTCAAAACAAGTTGGACTTTTAATAATAATTTTGGCAAATTTTCCATTTACAAGTGCATAAGCCACTATTTTCTTATATTGAGTCCATTTAAAACATCTATTCAGAGCAGTGCATAACTATATGTAATGAAATTATTAAAATTCTAAGGAGCATTCAGAATTTTGGTAAGATCAATTCAATTATAACTGGAACTAGATTCCAAATTTATTTGGTAGATGAATGATGGAGAGACAAAAGTTCCACCTTCCCAAGATTGTCAATAGAAAGAGAGAAGCGGAGAGCATAATACAGAGCACGACATCTCAACCTTTGGATATCAATAGGTAGATCATTATTTGCAAGTCTGGAATCTGATTTTACAACATGAACCACCTACAAAAAGTGAATTGATAAATGATCCCTCAAGCTCAAACAACGTGATAATCAGATTACTCTTTGTCTAGGTTCAAATTGGTTTTTTCATTTATTTCAATAAATAACAAACATAAAATTCTAGTTTAATTGCTCAACCTTACTCCTTGGGGAAAACATTGTGAAGGCATTATCCCTTCATCTAAAATGGCTATTGTTGGTATGATGAGGTGTCAAACCTATGCTGCCTAGAATCCGAAGATGAACGGCTTGAAACAACAGTTGTTGGACTCCGATCTGAGCATTCACTTCCATTTCGTGGCTTGGTAAAAGTCCTGTCCAGAATATGAACTGTGCACTTGTCTTTCATGATTGAGTGATCCCCACTAGTCGGTGGGGTGGTAGAGCACTATGCAGATATTGAAAAAGTTTTGCGAATGGGAAACAGGGTATCTTCAGAAGAGGCTAAGGGGAACTCAACCACCTTGTCAATTCGTGGAGAATTGACAGAGACATTTGGAGATTCTACACCCTGCAAGAGACCAACATTACGCTTACAAGGTGATTCAAATGTCGCAGCTCTAGTTGACAATGGAAGAGATGCTCTGCGTGTTGGTTGGAAAGGTTTGCTAGCTGGAGTACGCGACACAGGACGCTGCAAAAAATAATACCCATGAAGAGTATTATTTAATGGGTACTTTTAGTAGGAAAAGGAAAGCTCAATCTCTGTATCTATCATATCTCTATAAAATAAATAAATAAATAAACTTACCGAATCATGATTTAAAACAATGTTGAAAATCCTAGAAGGAGCAGTCAGTCTCTTTGGAGTTGCCGACATTTTTGCTGGAGCCAATCTTGGAGTCTTGGCAGCACTTGAAACCTTTGAGGCTGTTGACGTATCAACACTCATATTTTCATGGATGCTGCCAACAGATAATTCTGAGAGCTTTTTATTCAAAGAGCTTGGGAAATGCTGTGCCCTCTGAGAAGAACATGGAGAGTCTAGTTCGGTTCCAGATATACTAGGATTCAAGGCCCTGTCATTACTGAATGATCTCCATTTCTCTCTGTCCATAAGCATGGTAACAACATCAGGCTCAAGAAATCTAGTTTTCTTTACATAGTTGGAATCAGACAACTGTACTGGGAAAGTACTCCATCTAGGGCTATAAGATTTGAGTTGAATCTTAAGAATATACGGTTGAAGATGTGGGTGCCTGAGCAAATCTGCAGCCAGATAATTCTGAGAGCTTTTTATTCAAATAGCTTGGGAAATGCTGTGCCCTCTGAGAAGAACATGGAGAGTCTAGTTCGGTTCCAGATATACTAGGATTCAGGGCCCTGTCATTACTGAATGATCTCTGTTTCTCTCTGTCCGTAAGCATGGTAACAACATCAGGCTCAAGAAATCTAGTTTTCTTTACATAGTTGGAATCAGACAACTGTACTGGGAAAGTACTCCATCTAGGGCTATAAGATTTGAGTTGAATCTTAAGAATATACGGTTGAAGATGTGGGTGCCTGAGCAAATCTGCAGCCTGGCAAAACAGAACTACATTTGGTAAGGGAGAAGAAATCCAAAGAAACAAAGTTAAATCCATGTTCCCACACTGCGACTTAATCATTATGTGCTTCACATTACATGCATTTGGATATGAAGAAAGTTTCCAGCAGTGACTTGTGTGTGTGTGTGTATATATATATGAAACTGTAATGTTGAATCAGTATGACACATGAAACAGGATTATGAAAACATCATATTTGGCCTCGTGATCACTTTGGAGGACCATCAACTTGGTGATTCCTAAAAATGTAATAATAGTTATAAAGTGATTTTCCTTTTAAAGGTTATTCTACATGTACACATGTTGAAAATAAAAAGGAAAATGTAGAATATTACATACACTTGGTCTTAGTTCTGGATTCTTCCGCAACATACTTTTAACAAGCCCTCTACTGGAAAAGGAGAATATTCAAGAAACAAAGCAAGTTATTTGTAGCTGGAAACAATAGAAGCACTGCGAAGACAGATGCTCATGAAGAAGAAAACAAACTCACAATGCACCAGAATACATGGTCGGAAGTGGAGCCACAATGGATTTATTTATTTTGTTGATCAGAGCCTGCATATCCTGCTCATGAAGGGGAAAAAAAAGAAACTTTGACATTCAAAATCTATATAATCTTACTTCAGCCACTCCAAAATCAAGTAATTTCTCTTTCCCCTTGCACAATTCCTTCATCCACCGTTGTGCCTAGCATTAACAATACATATATACCTATGTATATACATACATACATATATAAACATTTATATATAGATATATTTAGCATTTGAATATTCCAAACAAATTAACTTGGTACAAATAAATAACTACTGATCACTCAAATTTAATATTCCAAATAATCTATCCATTTCGTGGAGTATGGCCTTACCTTTATAGCAAATAAGTCCTCAGTTGCCCTTTTCCTTGCCAGGAAAACTCGACCAAATGCACCTCTGCTGATTGGTTTTATTATTTCAAAATCTTCTATGGATGTCCTATCCTTAGAAGGATTGATAGGGCTTGTTCGCAAACTACGAACTATATCATCTTTTGTGGGGGAAGCACGCATAAAAATTAGTGCAGTTAAAACCAAAGATAAATCCGGAAGCAACTGGCAGTAATTTTTATCTTTTGTGCAAACCATGAAAAACATTTGAGTCCACTGAACCCATTGCAATAGTTTCTCCAAACATCTTCCAAAGGTTTCGACAACAAGGGCATCCACTTTCCTGTCTTGGATGGCATATTTTAGGTTTTCTAGACGGTCAAGAAGCAAATACTCCAAGGCACTATAGTCATTAGTGTTTACATTGGCTACAGATCGAGCAATATCCACTAGCTTGTTTATCTACCATTCCAAGGTACTTTTAGCAACTTAATTTACATAAGGAAAAACTCGAACAAATTAAGAAACCAAATTATAAAATAAATTGTGCAAGAAATGCCATAATATCCGAAAGGACAAAGTAAAAGACAAAAGGTAGAACAAATTGTTATTACCAAAATTTCTAATCCAAATTAGACACTAGAGCAATTCAACATAGACATCTTCCAAGATTTCTCAATTAAATTTGATGTAAAATCAAGACTTTCTATATAGTATGCTGGTTGTATTTCATAACATGCAAGGCAAACTTCGTAAATTGGAAATTTCTTCTTGATAGGCTTTACTTGTTTATTATCTTTAGGTGGAAATTTTATACAGAATTAAATAATTCCTTTTTATAAATAAAAAGGTTTAGATAGTGCAAACAGGGAAATTTTTTCCAAGAAGTTGATTAATAAAATTGATTATTAAAAATCATCATAATTGTGGAAAAGTTTATTGAAAACAGGGTAAAGCATTCCAAGTAGATTATACATAACATATGGATTACTAAAAATCATCTTACATAGTGGAAATTAGAACCAGATATTTTCACATAATATCCAAAGAAAACTGTATTGGCATGACAAAAATATAGTTGGATTCATTCAAGAGTGTAACAATTTGAATAGAATGTATCAGTACCAACATATATATGTGTCCGACCGATGAGAGGATAAGAAGCCATCTTTCTATCATGTCAAGAATGGCATCAACTGCCATTTGTTTTGACAAATAAACCCTCAAAAACTATAAGCTCATAGAACATCACCACAGGACATTATGTCCTCCTATTGAAGGACATTACATTTTGCACATAGTTTTCATACCGGAATATTAGGAAGTCTTCCCAATCGAAAGAACATATTTTAGCACAACATAACCAAGCCTATGTCTAGAAAATAATCTTGGCCAAATGTTAGGCAGCAGACAGATTTAGTAGATATAGACAACTAGCAGCACATTAAGGATGGATATACTTGATAATAACTTTACTACAATTGAAAAAGGATGTATTACAAAAACAAAAGTAATAAAGTTGCAATGACATGATATTTAATAAATCAACAAAACAAGAATAAGGTTCTTGTGCTTGCATCTTTAGAAACACTAATAAAGTTGAAGGAGAAGAGAATGATATAGGAAATGATTGAACTCTTACATTGGAAAGTCCAAGCTCTATCTCTTCCTGCAAATCATTCAATATAGAAATCAGAACCAGGGGTTTTTTACCTACCCATAATTTTTAGAATGGGCATTAGTATAATTTTTATAGATGAGAAAGGGTCAATACATATAGGTTGATAAATGAGGGATATGACAGGATCATTTCAAATCAAACATCAAAACCATTCATAGAATATCGAAGTATCGATTTCACCTTAAGAGAGAGAGAGAGTGTGGAGCTCACCGATCTGAATCGCTGAGATGAACTTCGATTCCATTTCGAGAGAGAACTTCGAAATCACTGGGATGAATCACCGATCTGAATCGCTGAGATCGATCTGAACTTCTGAATCAACAAGCTGAATCTCTGCGAGACAGCACAGAGAGAGAGGGAGAGGGAGGGAGACAGAGAGAGTGAGAATGGAGCTCATCGATCTGAATCGCTGAGATGACCTTCGATTTCGATTTTGAGATATGAATCACTGAGGCCGATCTGAATCGCTGAGATCTGAATCGCTGAGATCTGAATCGAAACCGAAGTGATTGAACTCAGATCTAAATCTAAATCGAAATCGAAGTGATATGAACTCAGATTTGAATCGCAATATGAAATCGAAGCGATATGAACTCAGAATTTTAAAATTTCGAGATATGAACTTCGATTTCGAGATCTAAATCACTGAGACTGATCTAAATTGCTGAGATGAACTTCGAAATCGCTCTGATGAATCACTTCGATTTCGAGAGAGAACTTCGATTTCTGAGGATTCCATTGATAAGCAACTGAATCTCTGTGAGATAACACGCATTTGAAGACAACAGAGAGAGACAGTATTTGCGAGTGCATCGGTTCAATTTGAGGGTTGAGATTCTCAGATTTGAAAAGGAAGTGCGTGAGATAACACGCATTTAAAGACGTTTATAAACGCCTCCTATTCATAAAACGGCACCGTTTTAATTAAAGAAAAATAAGACGTTTATAAAACGCAGTTAAATATCAAAAATAATGTCGTTTTAAAAAACGCCGTTAAAAAAACGTCACCTAAACCCATATTTCCTGTAGTGGATGCTTGACTGTGCCATTCGTAACATCAAATGGAGACTGTAATTTCAAGAAGAGGCAGTGAGAAATCTTTCGAGAACGTACTTCGACCATGCTCCTATGATAGGCTACACCGAAGGTATGCATAATCCCAACCCTCTTTTTAAACCCTCTTTTTAGACCTTTTAGGATATATGTTGCTTTGTTTACTAATCCCATTTAAAAAAACTTAGTTATGGATTCTTGGAATAATGCTAACAATTCAATCCTGGAAGCCATCCCGTCAATTACTTCTAAAGCTATCCTATGGAATAAAAACATTTTTCGTAACAAATGATGGCTTTTAGGTAGAATTGAGGGCATCCAAAAGGCCCAGTCTATTAAGTTTTTGCATAATCTATTTGTTCTTGAAAAAGAGCTCATTAAAAACTATAATAAAGTTCTCTTCCAAGAGGAATTGTTTTGGTTTAAAAAATCACGTACCAAGTGGCTTACCATGGGCAAAAGAATAGATTATTTCACGTTTCTACTTTGACAAAAAGAAGGAAATCTAGAATTAACACTTTGAAAGATAGTGGTGGTAACTGGATTTTAGATCCTATTGGTTTGAACAATCATGTTGGGAATTATTTTGAAGATGTGTTTACTTCTATGCCTAATTCTATTGGGATTAGTTCCAAATTCACTCCGAATAACAATGTTGAGCTATGTAAACTTATTTCTAACTTTGAAATCCAGAAAGCTATGAAGTTTATAAAAGCTTTCAAGGCCTCAGGTTCTGATGGTATTCAATCACTATTTTATCACTCTTATTGGGACATTGTGGGCATCTTTGTCTGTAATTTTATTAGGTCTTTTTTTCCCTGAGAGATGTTCCCTCTAATATTAACACTACTCTTATCCCCCTAGTTGACAACCTAGAATCAATAAACTAATTCAGGCTCATTAGCCTTTGTAGTGTCCTTTAGAAAACCCTCACTAAAACCCTGGTGAGCAGACCTAGACATATTCTTGTGCGAGTGGTTAGTCCCAATCAGAGCAACTTTATCCCAGTCAAAACCACCAATGACAACATCATTATTGCTCAGGAGATCATCCATACACTTAGATTCAAAAAAGGTAAACAACGTGACATGATCTTGAAAATAGATCTTGAAAAAGCTTAAGATAACGGTTTTTGGTCCTTTTTGCATAATACACTGGTTGATTTAAATCTCAACCAACAATGGATCGAGCTCATTATGAACTGTGTGACCAAATGTGTGACCAAAGTTAGCTTTTCTGTATTGTGGAATGGGAAATGAGTGCATGAGTTTCATCCTAAAAAGGGTCTCTGACAATGTGATCCTCTATCTCCATACCTCTTTGTCCTTTGTGTGGAAGGAGTTTCGAATTTGATTACATCTAAAGTGAGCAGTGGTGAGTGTAAGGGCATTAAAGCCTCTTCTAGGGGCCCGGCTATTTCACATTTCTTTTTTTTTTTTTGCAGATGATCTTCTCCTCTTTGCCAAGGTTGATAATAATAACTGTGATACCATTCTTGAGGTGTTAAGTCACTTTAGTGAGTGTTTAGGTTTGAAAGTTAACCTTCCTACATTAAAATTTTTTGCTTCTCCTAATTTGCCCATTGCTAAGGTAAGGAATTTGAGTAACAAGTGTGGCATCCCCCTTACTCAAGATTTGGGCAAATACCTCAATATCCCATTCTTGCACAATAAAGTGAGTAGGGCCCATTTCTCATTTATTTTTAAGAAGCTACAAAGTAGGTTGACAGCTGGAAAGCTAGTATGCTTTCGATTGTTGGGAGGGCTACTCTTATAAAATCTGTTACTTCTACTCTCCCTGCTTATATGATGCAAACTATGGATTTACCTATGAAGCTGTGCAAGGATCTGGATAAGTTGAATAGGAACTTTCTTTGGGGTGAGAAGGGCACCACTAAGAAAGTCCATATGGTGAATTGGGACTTGGTTTGTAAGAGCAAAAAACTGGGTGGTGTCTTGGTATTAGAAAAACCATGAACCACACAATATTGCCTTACTTTCTAAGTTGGGTTGGAAAGTCCTAAATGGAGAGTCTTGCCTTTGGGCTAATGTGTTGAAAGCTAAATACCTCAATGAGGAATCCCTTCTTAATTACTCTAGTAAAAGAGAATGGCTTCCCATACTTGGAGTGGTATTATCAAAACCCGTGACAATATTGTGAAAGATAGTAAATGGAACATTACAATGGGTCTAAGCGTCTATTTGGTTTGATTGGTGGTGTGGAGAGACTACTTTGGCCTTTCTTTTCTCTAATTCTCACCTCATCAATTCTGATCAGGTGGATACCGTCTTGAATGAGGAATGAAGATGAGATATTGATAAGATATCTGTTAAAGTGCCCAGAGAGGCTTGGACCTTATCTTTAAGGTTCAACTACCTAGGTTTGTCACTTATCCTGATATGCCAAATTAGAAGGGCTCTAGCTAGGGGTGCTTGTGGTTCAGTTGCGGCCGTGGAACTTCCAATTCGTCATCCGTCCGTCGAATTGGCGGATGTTGATTGAGCGGATTGGTGGATGGATGCGAATCGATTTGGCAATTTAAATTTTTACGAATTTTGAACATAAAACAACAACTTGTCAATATATTTTTTTTGGATAACAACCCAATTCAACATAACCAAAAGATTATCAAGTAAATTGTCAAATATCAATAATAAATACATATAAGAAAACATGTATTATCAAAATTATTTCATTACTTTTTTGATTTATTCAAAAACTATTTAATTTGATTTTTTTTTAAACGACAAAATTAAGCTTTATATTTTCCACACAAAAATACCAAATATTAATACTTGCCATTTAATAAAAGGATTTCCAAATTGAAAATAAATTGAAAAAATAATAGAATATCTAAACTCTTTTTCAATTGAAAATACAAACAGAATATCTAAACAAATTGAAAACACAAAGTCTTACAAACTAAAGGGCTGAAGTTTTACCTTTAAGTCTTAATTTGCAAGAATTCCAAGTTGTTTTTCCCAAATTTCAAGTCTCTAGCTTAAGTTGTAAAGCCCCGAAATACATGCCATAAATCCATCTAAGATCATATATGAATAACATTATAACTCAGAGTATCATGTTCTTTCATTTCAAGAGAGTCAATAGTACAAAAGAGTTTAATATATGCGATCATACATTCATAAGCTATACTCTGAATCTATAGCACATGGTACCAATTCAATGACATGGAATAAGACGCCAACAAAAAATAAATGCCCTATAAGCTTACATCTTTCCAGGACCATACTTGGTTACAACAAAGTGGATATAAATCAAATATATATAAAGCCATTGGCTTGAATCAAAACAATAACATAGTACACAAAAAAGAAGCCTTCAGCTCCGATTCCTCCCAAGCTATTGACTTGGCGGAGGCATATCACCAACACCTAAAAATGTTTTTCCCATATAGGGTGAGCCAAAGTCCAGTAGAAATAATCTAACACAATATATGAATCTTAACAAAGATATAAGTATAACATGCATATACAATGCCCGTGATAAAATCATTTATAACTCTTTTGCAAAATCATACTATGCCGAACTTATATTTCGATCCATTTTATCACAAATCATGAATCACTTTCATTTCATTCAGACAACCAAACTGAGGATACAACTCAATGAGTCTCTAACTAATATAGCCATCATATAATCACTTCTATTTACCATTTTATAGATATTTCGTCCGCGGGAATTGGCACACATGTATACTCGTGGTTTTCAAGACTTTCATCATGGACACTCCGGCCAACTTAATTCAATGGAGTACATCCCATTTCTTCTCCCAAACATGGAGTATATCCCATTTCTCCTCCTAAACATTATACATTTACAATGTATTAAAAATGTACCAACACATAATGCAAATGGATGAGAAATTAGTTTCAATTCACCTAATTTTGATGCAATTTCTACAACAATTATAGCTATCCTCCATTGATAGCTCAAAATAGATATTTCTAAATAGATATACAATCTCCAAGACATATAAATTATCCAAAATCCTTAGGCGAGTGATAATACATATCCAACTCCACCATTTATAAAGACATCCATCCAATTTCACATTTTCAATTCCAATTCCATATATTTATACAAAATAAATGTTTGAGGCATTTTAGGGTAAGCCCCATTTTCTTCCAAAATTCAGCCAAAGTATCAAAATCAATAATTTTATTGCAACACAACCTCATATTCACTCTTATAATCATTTTCAATACACCCATTTATAAAC